TGCCAACATAATTTTAAACTGATTGGATGTATAAGATGCAGCCCTGGAAGTTTCTTATTGGTAGGTGCTATTCTAAGGGCTGTGGAATGTGCTGACTGTTACCTGTAGGGCCAGGAGTCTCCGTTTTTACCTTATAGGGCAGTTTTTATGCTCATGCTTGCTTAATCTATAGTTTCCTGGAAAGGGGGTGGGGAATAGCAGGTGGGGGTCAGGGCTGCCAGGGTATGTCTAGGCATGTCTAAAGCAGCAGCTAAGCATTTTACAGAAGCTAAAAGAGCAATTAGTGGGGGTCTGGAGGGATTGGGGGGTAGCGGGTGAATGAAGAGGGTCTCAGGGTTCTACAATAGGAAATCAGGCAAGATGGAAAAGAAATGAAAGAAATCAGGTAAACCAAACCAGAGGCTTCTGGATTATCAGGAAAGTTTGGTCATTTAAGAGTCATGTTCTTGACTCAGTAAATTCTCTTTGATTTCATTTTCTCACCAGGCAATAAACCATGGTTTAAGTGTTTATTCTCCTCCCTCTCTCTCTCTCCCTCCCTCTCCCCCTCTCTCCCTCCATTTCTTCATTCCTTCCTTCCTTCCTTCCCTAACTTCCTTCTTTTTGGCATGCTGGAGGTGGGGCCCAGAGCTTCACACATGCTAAGCAAATGCTTTCTACCACTGAGCTACATCCCAGCCCAGAGTGAATATTTTATTCTAATTTACAAGATGTTTTGAGGCACTTGTTGACTTTGAAGGGAGAAGTCTGTTTTACTCTTCTGTATAACTAGGAATCATTACAAGAAATATTAGAAGCTTGTTTTTCAGGTCAGGCTCATTAATACTCCTAAGGTGAATATATAAGAAATAACTGAGAGATAGATGAAGTGCCTCTTTTATAAATGAAATCAAAGAACCAAGACTGAGTAATTCATGAAAGAGCCTAAGAAAACCCAAGGACCTATGTGATTTACTCTTGTTTGGTGGGTGTGACTTGTGTTAAGAACTCAGACCAATACCAGTAAGATGCCTTAGCAGGCAAGGACATTTAGTGCCAAGCTTGATGACCTGAATTCAATCCCCCAGACCGATTTGGTGGGAGAGGAGAACTGACTTCTGCAAGTTGTCCTCTGACCTCCACGGATATGCCAGGGTATATGTGTGCACACTTCTGTGCCCCTAGACCCCACAGTAAATAAATATAATACAAAATTAAAGAAGAACTCACATCTGAAGCAATAATAATTGTTAAAATACTCAGAGATAACTTGTTTACCTTGTAGATCTTATATTTCATTTCTAGGTGTTAAGTTTCTACTAGATCCTGGATTACCTGACATCAGTTATTTGTTTTTGCCAAATATTACCTTCTTAATACTAGAATCCAGGAGAAAAACCCTTTCAGAGATATCCCTGGCTTGGGTTAGCTGAAGTGACTTCCATGATTCTTTCTATTTTCCCATTGCGTTTGTACTCATACCCTACTTACCCTCAAATGTACTTTTCCCAAGAAAATCTAAGTATTTGCCTCCCCAGGTCCTCCACTAGCGTATGGTCTTTGCAAGGGCAGGGCCCATGTCTTTATCTCTGTGTCTGTAGTTCCTTATGACTATGTGCTTGACAAATTTGTGAGTAAATGATCAATCAATCCGCAAAGGCCAGGTTTTGTTGCTATTTTGAGACAGCCTCATGCAGCCCAGGCTGGTTTCCAAGTTGTTATATACCTCAAACACAACCTTAAACGTCTAACCTTCCTGCTTCTACCTCTCTCCATTGCTGGAATTATAGGCATGCACCACCATCTGAAGTTTATGTGTTATTGGGGATTCAACTCAGAGCTTTGTGCATGCTAGGCAAGCACTCTACAGAACTACATCCTTATCTCAACAGTCAATGTCAGATAAAGCATAACAGTCCATTATCCTGCAGTTTCATGGATAAGGGAAAAAAAAGGCTGTTATTGCTCTTTACATGCTCAACATCTCCCAGGGTGCTGGTGTTGAGCCAGGTGATGCTCATCCCACTTGTTCTCTGTAAGCTTAGCTTTCTGACTTCAGTGGACTCAGCTGACTACTAGGGATGGGACCAGGGGCATTTGTGACACCAGCCACACATATGAGACTCCCCAGACTCAGAATCTTTCACATATAGGCTCTTAGCATGGTTCTGGGCATTTTTAGTGTTGCCTTGCATTTAGAGCTAGAGTGGCATATACTTTATAGTGTCCATTATTACTGGGGTGGAGGCCCCCATTGTCAGTTATGTCAGGATGGCCTCTACTAACTCATTTAATTGATGGTTGGGCCTCTTCTCCCTGAGAAGGACTGGCAAAGGGTCCCTGAGTATGTCTAAATCTCAGGCATGTGACTAATGATGCCTCTTATGAAGTCCCCAGGGTCACATGGAATGTCAGTGGGTAGAACTTGGACTTTGGCATTGATCATGCTAAGGTTTATAGTTTTTACATTTAAGAAAAGTGTTAATGGAAAGCCAGGCATGGTGGTGCACTCCTTTAATCCCAGCACTCTGGAGGCAGAGGCAGGTAGATCTCTGTGAGATCAAGGCCAGCCTGGTCTACACAAGTGAGTTCCAGGCCAGCTGTGGTTACAGGGAGACTGTCTCAAAAAGACAAAAAAGAAGAAAAAAAGTATTAGTGGATGTTTTTGAGAAGGGAAGAATGTGTGTTATTACTTTATTCTTGCTAATAAATTTCAAATTTGGGTAATATCAGATCCTGGAAACTCAGACTCTGAACAGAAAATTAGTGTGTGTGGTCATGATCATTCAGTGTTCTACTTAATAAACAATAAAATTCAACTCCAGGCTGCATGGGGACACACCTTTTCAATGCAGGCTCTATTATTTTCCTTTTGTGTCTTTTGACCTGCTTTTGTCTATCCCTGAACTTTTTGAGTGGTATTACTAAACGTTTTCTCATGTCCTATGATATCTCCTTCATGGGATAGATTAAATTGGTGAAGTTATAATAAAAGCTTAGTATAGCCTGGGCATGGTGGTGCACGCCTTTAATCCCAGCACTCAGGAGGCAGAGGCAGGCAGATCTCTGTGAGTTCAAGGCCAGCCTGGTCTACATAGTGAGTTCCAGGACATCTAGGGCTACAGAGAGACCCTGTCTCAAAAAGACAAAAAACAAAACAAAACAAAACAAAACTTAGTATAAAATCTGTTCTGAATAAATTATGTACATAAGTACAAGTTGAATATCTTTTATCCTAAATGCTTAAGACCAGAAGTATTTTTGCTTTTAGACTTTTTTCAGATTTTATATTTACAAATGAGTTGTCTTTAGGATGGAATACAAGTTTAAGTATGAAATTATGTTTCATATACATCTTAGAAACATGGGTTGAAAACAATTTTATACAATATTTTTCATGGTCTGTTTTGTGCGTGTGTGTGCGTGTGTGTGTGTGTGTGTGTGTGTGTGTGTGTGTGTGTGTGGTGTATGTCTGTAAACCCAGGGCTTTGCACGTTAGTAAAATGCTATATCCCTGAGCTATATCCCCACCCCTTGGTTTTTGAGATAGGGGATTGCTATGTAGCTCAGACTGGCTTTGGGTTTAGCTGTGTAGCCCAGCCTGGCCTCCAGTTCACAATCCTCCTGCTTCTTCCTCCAGAGTGCTGGGATTGCAGGTTTATACTACCATCCTCAGAGAGTACCTGTGTTTTGATTGCTACCTGTCATATGAGATATAAGGTCATCTTCCTTAGTTTTTGCTGGTTTAAAATAAATTTTTTAAAGATTTATTTACTTTTATTTTATGTGTGTTATGCCTGCATGTGTGTAAGTACATTGTGTCGTGCGATGCCTGCGTGGAGGACAGAAGAGGGTGTCATATCCCCTGGAACTGAAGTTATAGATGGCTGTTAACTACCATGTGGGTGCTGAGATTTGAACCCAGGTCATTTTTGCTATTTTATGCATGCAAGTATAGTATAAAATGTATGGCACATGGGATTGTAAAATACATAAATAACTTTTCAGAGGAAGAGATAAACTCTTCACAGGACAGTCTGGTGGTTTGGGTGCATGCAGTGTGGAACTCTGCATACACTTCAGCTGTAGTCCTCCAAAACGATGGGAAATTTGTCTATCTCTATCTTTATATCACCTATTTCTATCTCTATTATCATCTCTATCTTTATCTTTGTCTCTTTATCATCTAAATCAGTATCTGTGTGTTTGTATATGTATGTATTTGTGTGCATGCTTTTATATATGTACATGTACATTTATTCATGTGTCAACTGAAAATTAAGCCTTTCAAAATTATCTCCTTTAACAGACAGACACCAAGCCCGTGCAAATGATGAATCTAGAGGCCACGTTCTGTTTGGGCAACATTGATGACATCAACTGTAAGATCATAGAGCTTCCTTTTCAGAATAAGCACCTTAGTATGCTCATCCTGCTGCCCAAGGATGTGGAGGATGAGTCTACGGGCCTGGAGAAGGTGAGGAGGCAGCTGGGCATTTAACATGAAAGAGCTTCACTACAGTAAAGAAGTGCTCAGATAGAGTCCCGTGGCACTCAGAGAAGTGGGCCACAGCCCTGCCTCACATGCCTCTAGCTCAGTCATCTCCCCGGTTTTGAGGTCCACTCTGTGTCTTTTCCTCTTTGAAGTAAAGAATGCCCAACATTTATTTGACAATTGCAATGGACCAAGGATAGCACTAAATTCTTCACATTTTCTCGTTTAAGTTTTACTGCAGTCCTATGAATTAGAAACTATTACCATGCTGTTGTTTACCAGTGAGAAGGGATGCACAAAAGGGTGGGTAATGGGTAGCTAGTCTGTGGCCACATACTCAATCAGTTATATGATAACTAAGTGTTTGAACCCAGGAAGGCGAAGCCATGGTCCTGTTAATTTGTATTAAGTGAACATGAGAATATTAATCAAAAAGTAATTGTTGTAAATTAACAAAATAATACAATGGTTACTTCCCCATTAAAAAAATACACACCAGCTTGTGACTTGCCATGTCTTTGATTTTACAACCATCATGAGCTTAACACTGTGCAGTATCACTCCGTGATGGTAGTAGTCAGGGTATTGCTATTCTTGGTGGCACTTGTGTTTCTCCTGTAATCAGTAGAGGCATTGGAAGGTCAAGGAGAAATTTAACTTAATTTGCTCCATGAAGAATTTTATGACTAAGCTATTTTATGCTTCATTGCATATCTATCATTTTTAAAACCAATTGAAATGGTTACGTTCACCACCTATGATCTTAAAGAACAACTCAGAGATTGCCCGAGTTCCCTTCTAAAAAAAAAAAATAACTTTTAATTAAATTTGATGCCATGCCTAGATCATGAATAATATGAAGTCCTTTGTAGAGAAATTGTAATAGTGAGAAAATACGTATTTAAAAACCTAATTTTACATTCATTTCACTGTTGTGTATGTAACATCATGATCCACATACTTATTTCTGTAAAGCTACTTTACAATTAAAGCAAAGAAAAGCCATTCCTGCATAAATTTCACTCTGAAGGGAGCCTTCTTATAGGATGGGGAGGAGAAGAATGCTAGACTGCTGGTGGATCTTATAAGAAGAACTAGTCCTTGCCAGAAGTGCTGGACTGTCCAAGGTCTATTCAGCCTCTTCAAAACCGGGCTTATTCCAACACTTCACGATCTTAATCAAGCTAGATCTTTTACAATCAGAAGTGAATAAAATTAATTTCTCTTCCTTTTTGTCCTTCAGATTGAAAAACAACTCAACCCAGAGACACTGTTGCAGTGGACCAACCCCAGCACCATGGCCAATGCCAAAGTCAAACTATCCCTCCCTAAGTTTAAAGTGGAAAAGATGATTGATCCCAAAGCTAGTCTTGAAAGTCTGGGGCTAAAAAATCTCTTTAATGAAAATACATCTGATTTCTCTGGAATGTCAGAGACCAAGGGAGTAGCCCTATCAAATGTGATTCACAAGGTATGTCTAGAAATAACTGAAGATGGCGGGGAGTCCATTGAGGTGCCAGGATCCCGCATCTTACAGCACAAGGATGAATTCAATGCTGACCACCCATTTATTTACATCATCAGACATAATAAAACTCGAAATATCATTTTCTTTGGCAAGTTCTGTTCTCCTGAAGTGTCAGGGTCCCACTAAATATCACCCACTTTGTCTGCAACTACAGATTTCTGTAAACTTTGAAACCAGAGCATCCCTTGCTATACAATAAATTGTTAATGTTGCTGGATCAGGAAACAGCTGGTACATTATATGCAACCTTCAGACTAACAGACTCTTCTTTTCCAATTCTTCATTGTTCACTGGGATAAAGAATATCTAGACATTTTCACTTTCTGAAAGTTTAAGAAACTCTGGAACATGAGGCCTACACAACCATCTTTGTCCAGTGAGAATTTCAGGCATGTGCTCACAGTCTTGAAGGTCCAGAAGTGTTTACATTAAACCCTGTGAGAAAGAATTTTTTTGAGATCTTAATAGAGGATTTTGGAAAAATAACATGTTATAAATAAATACTGTATGTCATAGTGTCTATACATAAATAGGGTCTAGAACATCACCTTATAAATCAATACCTTAATATTTCTGCAACAAAATATAGACAATTTATACAAAATGGAAAAATAAGGATGATAGTCCATGAGTGATAAAATTTTGCTGAAAAATGAGTACCCCATTGGCTCATGACATTTTTGAACATTTTTAGATCATGGAATATTGGCTAAAGGATTCTGAACCTAGACTAGTTGAATAATAAGCCCCTCAGGAAGAACGCTCAGCTCTAAAACTTGGCTTTTATTTTTTTATAGAGTCCCTGATCATTTGGTTGGTGCTGGATTAGTGGCAGGGATTTCTGACTGGACCTCAAGGTTTTTGATGTCTCTGATGCCAGGAATCTAAAATCCATATGGATTTTCATGTTAGTAGGATAGTTTTATGGGTGTTGAAGGAGGTTTCCTCTTTGTCTAATGTGATAGTGGGAAAAGGGAAGGGACCCCAAACTCTTAAGAAATATAAGTAAAACTATTTAAGTACCTATATGCCTTGACATGTGTTTTTTTCAGTTTATGAATCTTGTTATTTCAGATAGTAGTTTGTAATTTACACAATAGTAACTTGCAAAGTGGTTCTGGTAAGTTATCTATGTTGCAGGTAATGTTTTAATTCACTGCCAAAAGAAGTATTTGCTACAGATTTTGAGATTCCCTCCCTTATCTATTCCTTGCCATTCGTTGTAAATATGTTCTTGCTCTGAAGAATTGAATTTCTTCTGTGCTACTGACAATAAAAGATTATTGAATTATGTGTTGTATTTTTTCTCTATTGACTTAGAATTGCTGTCTTTAAATAGAACCAAGCCATCCATTTACTAAAAGCATTTTATATGCAAATGCCTTTTGAGATGTAGTTAATGTAGACCAAAGAGAAATATAAATAATTCCTGCCCTTCTTGTGCTTCTTTTTTGGCCATCAGCTCTTGCACTCTGTTTATCCTAGGGAAAAAAAGACCAGAACAGGGTGAGAATGACTCAACCACTTATGAGTTACTTGAAACCAGAGCCTCAGAGGAGAACATGCAGTTCCTTTTCCAGACCTTTCGCTTTGGGTCCGCTCTCGAAATACAACTTTATTAAGAGATATAAGCTCATAATGCTGTCTTATATAGTGTGTTTTCCTCAATGCACTTTCAAATTATTTACAGTGTCTCTGAACCTAATAGTCAACATCCCCTTAGCATTCTCAAAATGAATGTTCTCCTCTTGCAATAAATGCTCACATTCTGAAAGGAAAATTATCTTTTGTACAGGATTGCCACGGGTGGCCCAAACCAATTTTTGGTACTCTTTCTGAAAAAGGGAGTAAGCATGAAAAAGAGGGAGAGGTTGATGCCTCCTTGGCCAAGGACGCAGGAGTTTCAAGTGCCTCCAGGAATTTGAAAACCACATTTTTGGTCAACACTTCCCTGAGATAGTTTACACTGGTGGTTTCCAACCATGGGGGAATTCTGCCCTCTAGGGGATGTTTTTGTTATCATTACTGGGAGAACATGTCTTGGGCAGCCAAGGATGCATCTCAAATGGCCAGATGACCCCCGTCAACAGCATTATCCAGTCTACCATGCCCATGTTGCTGAAAGATATGCTCCTGGGGCTCTCGCTAAATGCCAGATGCAGTGGGAGTGTTCCTGAGGCACTGAAAGAAGAAAGGGCAGGAGGTCTAGTGGAGGGTGAAGGGCATCCGCTTTGTGAAAGTGACATGTAGGAGTTATTTGGTTGGTTATTCTGCCACTTCCTCTTCTTCCTGTTCTCATACAATAGCTTGGAAGCAGAGCAGAAAGATGTGTGTGGTGGAGAGTAGGGAAGGAGCCTGTGCCTACTGCCTTTCCCTGAGGGTTAGTAAGTCTCAGCCAGATCCAGCTGTGGTGGATGGTGAACTTTTGCATTGGAAGAGACTCAATTCTCATTTAGGTTTGGACACTTGAAAGCATCTGTTAATATACAACTGACTGGAGGAGCTTTAGTATGGGTAGTGGGGGTTCTCTAGGGAAGGGGGAAGAAAATGAGGGGAAGAATGGAGTTGAAAAGAGCATTTGGAAGTTTGAAATAACTAGGATGCATTTTGTTATTGTCCTGCCTGGTCTAGCTCACCAAAAAAAACCTGTCATAGGTGTATTTTCTTAGTTAATATTCATAACAAATATTTGAAGAAGAAACCATGATCCCACAGTTAGCTTAAGGTCGCTAGCATGCCAATGCTAGATTTGAGTCCATGCAGACTGAGACCATAGCTAGTTAAGCTCAAGGTCACAGAGCTAGGGCATGCCAGTGACTGGATTTGAGTCTGTGCAGACCGAGGCCGTAGCTAGCTACAGATTCTAGTTTCTATATTCAATGCCACCATCTTCCACCTGGCATCAGTCCCCTGCAGGTGGCCACTAAGGGTCCCTCAAAGACTCCTTTTTTCCTCTCTATCTCTCCCCTTAAAGTTGCAGACTATTCATGTTTTCCTGGCGGTCCCTTCCTCGCCAGCCAAAACATCCCAAAGTCACAATTGTTTCATTAGTAATGGGATGAGTGGCTTCATTTGCTTATTCTCACCATAACTGTAGTGATCTGGGCTAATCCTTCTGAACAGACAGGGCAAGATTCAATATCAAAATTGACTTTGGGACATCAGTATCCCCATAGGCTGATGACAGCAGGACCCGGGTGTTCATGTCTGTGCAGTCTTGTGATGAGCAAGCTTGTAGCTCAGTCATTTTTGTTCATCACTCTAGTCCAGCGGGACAGTGCAGTGCAGTAGCACACTCCATCCCTCTACATCATGGAGACTGCACTGGTCTTCATGAAGTACTTGAGATTGGGAAGACAGGGCTACTGAAGCAGGCTGGAGGGATGGGGATGGGTGTGGGAGGTTGGGCAGAGCCACCTGTGGAATCTCATGCATTTACCTGGTTTATCTATTGTGGCAGAGGCTCTGAGAGGGGAGAGCTGTAGCTTTCTAAACTTTTGAATGACTGGGAAAACAAAATTTCAAAAGTAATTTTTTTGGGGTAAGTTATTGTGGAATCTGCCAACTGATGAGGAGGTGAATGGAGCAGCATAGAGACCATCCAGTGATCAGTTCTCCCTTCAAGGAGGACTGTGCCCCACGCCCCCATTATACACAGATTGGGAGGTCAGCCCCCCTCCCAAGTAAAAGCTCTGTTCTTCTGAATTTGAATTTCATTAAATTAATTTTAACCACTTGAATGAAAAGCCAGAAAAGAGGTACTAATGCTTTTTCATGGTTCCTTTTACTATGTGCAAGCATCAGTCCATTTCATTTCTAAAGTCTTTTATTTCTAGCTTGTTTTTCCTAAGCTAATGCTTAAAATTCATTGGACTTTCTAGGGGAGGTGCTATTTAGCCTTTCCCTGTTTTTCACCCCCTGTCGGCTAGTGTTAGGGTGAATTTCCCATCTCCGTACCATGGGGACCACAGGTGATTGGTCTCTGCTGTTTCCCTCACTTCGTTTACCCTTTTCTACTAGTGGCTTTGAATCTGTGCCAGTTAGGAAGTTAGACATTTAGTTTTTGGTGTGTGAGGTGAAAACAGGCTGAGAAAGCGAGGCGCTTTTCTTATAGTATAAAATGCTTCAGGTTTGATATGATGAATTTTAGAATTTGTTACCATCTTTGAAAGCTCATAAACTATTACACTTCTATCTGGATCATGAGAAGATGAGTCTACTTGTAACTGTAATGTGGACAGGTTAGCTAGTTAAAGCACTTTACAAAGGTCAAATTTTAATGATCTCAAAACTACATTTGAGTAATTTTTCTCATAAGCTCTACGTTCCCCTTTAAAAGTATTTTTCATGAATGCACCAATCAGCATTGCTGGAGTTGCTCTGTGCATGCATAATTTTGGGCTGAGGGAAATGGGATTTAAAAGAGGGACAAACTTGGTTTCTATGCTCATGAAATTTATAATTTAATCAGAAAAACTACATTAAAGATAACCTTTAATAATAGCAACCCTGAACATTTACCACATTTTCCTTTCAGTCGAGATTGGAAAATCCCCAGGGGCAGAGCAACATTAAGCCATCCTCCACGGGAAACTCAGAGGAGTTGGATGCGTTTGCATACCTTCATTTTGCTGAATATTCTAAGAAGCCCGTGATGGACTGTAGATTCTGAAACATCATTTCAGAACTGAGGAAGCTGAGGCTCTTAAAGTTCTTAGCTGCAGCTTCCCTGGCTTGCTGTCTTTCCATGCCTTTTGTATATTATTCCTTCTGAATACTTTTTTTTTTTTCAAATTAGAACATGCATGCAGAAAAGGACATGTTTGCAGAGCTGGATCAAGTTTCACACCTATCTTATCAGGCGTCTCTGAAGCTTTTCCCCACTCACGCTCTCCATGCTACGTCCCTCCAAGATGAGCTGGTGTCCTCTCACCACACAGGGAAGAGTGTCTGCCCTGTTTTCGTACTTTATGTAGATGGACTCCCATAGTGAGTTCTCTTTCTCTTTGGCTGTGCAAATGTTTTCCATGTTGTTGCAGTTCTAGATCATCTTGTGCCTTGTTGCATGGTTCCTTAAATTTGTGACTGGGTCAAACAGATTTCCGTTCTACTACTTTTGGGTGTCGAATGTTTTCAGCATTTGTGTAGTTAGCACTCTTATGAACATTGTGGCACTTTTTGGTGAAATATGTATGCATTGCTGGTGTATGTATGTATGAATACACATACACATATAAATACTTGGGAATCAGCTTGCTGAGCCCTAGATACCAGTTTTCCACAAAGGTTTTTTTACCACTGCCTATCTTTTTTATTTTATTTTTCTCTATCTTTTATTATTGTTATTAGTAGTTTATAGAGATTGCTTTTTCCAACTGTCACTCCTATCGTGGCCATTTGTCCTTAGAGTAAGCACTGTGTGGACTTCTCTTTGAGAAGCTGATACATAGTATAATTCAGCTTCCATAACAGCCCTATGGCAACCTGTTCTAGATGAAGAAGACTGAATTTTAGAAACATGGCAAGAAAGTTCTCTAGGCACATGCAGAAAGCACATTTTGCTGTTCGGACTGAAACTTCAGCTCTTTGACTCTCCAGGATTTGATTATATTACAAACTTTTTCTTGGTGAATAAACCATTTACCCTAAAAAACATTTTCTTAAGCTGGGTGTGGTGGCGCACGCCTTTAATCCCAGCACTTGGAAGGCAGAGGCAAGCAGATCTTTGTGAGTTCAAGGCCAGCCTGGTCTACAGTCAGTTCCAGAACAGCTGGGGCTACAGGGAGACCTTGTCTCAAAAAGGCCCCAAAAAACCAAAAAAGCATTTTCTTTCTTCTGTTTATGTTTAAATGAAGTATTATGCTAAGTAGAAGACAGATGAATACAGATAAAAATAAAACACTTATTTACATAATAAGCAAAACTTCAGGAATGTTTGTTTACTTTTCAAATATTTAAATATAGCACAATTTTTCAAAAGTTCTGTTCTTCCCTGAGGGGCTGCATTCAGTTCACTGTATGGCATTTATATCAAATTGACATTTTCTCTCTTTTCATTTTAGCTCTTGGACTAGAAACTACTTCTATAACATTCTTTTTGGTTGTGAGCCTGAGCCTCTAATGGCTGTGCCAGCTCTCTAGCCCAACATTCATTTATAAGAAATAGTTTTAAAATATTTTCTTTATTTTTTATTTTATGTATATGAGTATATTGCCTGCATGTGTTTAAGTGCACCCATATCATGTGATACCCATGGAAGTCAG